ATTTTGGTGAACACCAGGGACGGAAGCTCTGGTTGGCGACAGTGGTGTCTGGGCAAGCACAGGAAGGCGGGGGGAGCACTGCCGCCACCTCCAGCCACGCGCGACCCCCATGCACGCCAGGTGGAGGCTCTCAAGGTGACGGGGGTGGGGAGCACTGCAAAGCTCCCCTGGAAGGAAGGCAAGACCTGCTTTAAGCCAGCAGGAAGACACAGAGACAGCCAGCGGGGCTGAGTGCTGCCGCCGCGGGGCCCCAAGAACATGTGAGCGAGCCGGTGGCGCAGGCAGCGGGGCTGAGATGGGCTCCCTCGCCGCCCCCCCTTGCCCCCCTCACCGTAGGCCGTGACCAGCTTCTAACCCACAGAGTGACATGGCAAAGGGACTTGGCTGCTGTAATTAATGCACTATCTCGGGTGGGCCTGGCGAGCCCATAATGAGGGGCCAAGGCGGCCGCTATGCCGGGGCCTCCTCCCCGGTCAGCTCGGGATTCAAGCCACACGAGCTCTGTGGCTGTGAGAACGGGGCTCTGCCAAAGCCCGAGGGGCTGGGAAGCGAACACCACGCAGCTGAGCCCTGGCGAGGGGAGAAGAGCCACGCGGCCAAGCTCCTGCCTCACGACAACTGCAAAATGCAACGCCACAGTCACGGCATCTGTGGTCACCGTCACCCAGTGACAGAGCCAACACCCCCTCCACCACGGTGCGCCAGGGCCTGGCGCCCCTTCCAGAACGTCTTCCCGTGTGTGGCCCGGCCTAGCGCGTGCAGTCTGCGGCCTAAACCAGCCTCCTTCCTCCCCAGCGCATCTCCTGTGGCTCTGCTGCTCTCAGGGCTCCTGAGGACTCTCTTGTGAAGATGCCTGCTCTGCTCCGCTGTCTTCGGACACGGCCTCAGCCTCCCGCCCCAGCCCCGACGTGGCGGTCAGCGGCACCAGGACGACAGTGAGGGTCTCTGGAGGCGGTTAGGCCAGCAAGGGGTGGTTAGGCCAGCTGTGAAGCCCCGAAGCAGCCCAGGCACTGCCTGATGGAGGGGCTGAGCCCTCATGGGGCTGAAGGGAGCACGGGCGGGGGGAGCACTCCCTCCCCTGCCGGGTGCTCTGGCCACACGCAGGCGTTTCTGTGTTCTGTGCACCATAAAGGGTTGGCACGCGCCTTTAGCCAGCCCAGCAACTCCAGGGCAGGCCAGTGCGGATGGGCCGGGAATTCACCTGGACACCCCTGCGGCGGCTCGGCACAGCGCATACTCAGCTGATGACCACTTGCGGCTCCTGTCCACCCCAGACAGAGGCCTCTGGCCCCAGAATGAGGACCGGTTCTATGGAGCACAGCCCCTGCCCCAACACTGGGCGGGAGGAGGAAGGGCGAAGGCCGGCGGGTCAAGGACACGTGCAGCAACGAGACCAAGCGCTGGCAGCCCCAGGCGCCCCACGGCTCAGCCGCCAGGTGCTGGGCAGCAGCAGCCAGACACAGGAGACACGCGGTGCGGCACCATGTCTCTAAAAGCACTGGACTGGCAAAGCCAATCGATGCCTCAGAAGCCAGGAGAGAGGTTACCTTTGTGGGGGCCGCAGGGGCCGGGGAGGGTTGGGGTGGGGGTGTGCGGGGCCATGGGTACAAGGCCCGAGACACCAGACTTCAAGGAGAGGCTGAAACTAGGGCCTCTCGGGACAGCCAAGCGTAACCTGCTTGTAGTCCAAAGCCAGGACGCAGCTCGGGACGGTCCTGGAGACTCAGTGGAAGCGGCTCACAAACCACTTCAAGTCCAGGTTGGAAGGCTGCGGCCGAGGAACGAAACTGCTCCGGGAGGCCCATGCTGCCTCCGTCGACAGAAAGCTGCCTCGGGCAGGAAGAGGGAGGCCGGAGGGGCACGGAGGCGTGTGTCCCAGCGACCACCTGCGTGCACCGTCGTTGCCAGAACCGCGGCACGCTACCGCCACTGGCTGCGGAGCTCCGCGCGGGAGGACCATGGGCCCCAGGACGCAGGGACATCCCCGCCACGCCCACAGAGGGTGGGACTCCCCGGGCGTGCCCGTTTTCAGGGGTGCAGGGATGAGAGTGAGGAGGTGTGGAGACAGGCTCCCCGCGGCCTGAGGGGCCTGGCTGGTCACCCCAGTGCTGATCGGCAGGGACCTTCCAGGACTGCCGGGCTGTTCAGGGTCAGGAAGAATGAAGGCGGCACCGCAGGGCCCATGTCGCAAGCGGCGTGCCTCTCGTGGGCAGCACCCCATGCTGGAGAGCGGGGAGCAGTCCCCCAGTTTATGCCTGGAGGGCGAGGTTGTTTCCCCGCCACACACCTGTGTGCTCTGCCCACACCCCTGCAGCAGAGGTGAGGGGTGCTCGGGTTCTGCTCTCCTGAGGAGAGGAAGTCCCGCGAGTTCAAGTGTGTGCTCTGAGCCCAGAGGAGGAGCACCCTGCTTGCCGCAGCCCCAGCCCGGCCTCCGGAGGCAAAGCAGAGGTCCAGGGTCCAGGCCTGTGACCGGCACTGGAAGCTGCTGGAAGAGGTGAGGAAGTCACCCGGGGCCTCCAAGGAGGACACAGCATTTTCCCACGCGGCCCCGGGCACAGGGGTGGCCTCTCTTTCCCTGCCCACACGACCGTCCCTGGAGTCTGGGGTTCTGCGCAGGAAACAGTCTCGTGTCTGGGGTGGCCCGAAGGGCTCCCCTGGGTGACCTGGAGCCCTGGATTCTCCTCCAGGACACAGGCCTCCCGAGGCCCAGGCCGTTGCGGGTAGACAGCCACGTGTGTCCAGCTCCTGGTGCCCGTCAAGCCCCTTTTTGCTAAAAGATCTACTAAAGCCAAAAGGATGGCGCCTGTGGCGGGCCTCGGGCTGCTCCGGACACTGCTTGCAGATGAGAAGCCAGAGCAGCCGTCTCCTCGCCGCGTTATCCTGCTTCTTTCCAGGGGATCCGGTTCCCGGTGGCATCTTGCCTTGGCCCCTCCCGGCTGGCGTGGGATATACAAGACGACAGCCCTTTGGGTGATGTATGTGCCCTCGCTGGGGGCCCCTCGCTCCCCGCCGCTCCCCGGGCAGGTATCGCATCGCCGGGGTCACGGCCCTGGGAAGGTCGCCAGGGGTCAGATAAGGAAGATGTTGAGTCTGTCGGTGATCCCCCGAGGTGGGGCTCTGCCTGAGGAATTAGTGAGATGTGTCCCGGGGTCAGCGTGGGGAGGGCCGCAGGGCCTGAGGTCACAGGGTCACGGTGGCTGAGGGCCTCATGGGAAGGGGCAGGCCCCGCTGGGCTGCAGACGAGGGCGCAGGAGGGTCCAGCAACCCCTGCCTATGCAGCCAGGTGCAGAGCCAACGGCAGAGGCCACTCAGCCCAGGCCGGATGGGGCACTCGCTGGACACAGGCGCAGGATGGGCCGAGTGGTGCACGAGTGTCTGAGCCGCCAGTACTGACCACCCCTGGGTGATGACTACTCCCGATAAGGAAAGTCCTCTTCCTCACGACACCCCACTCCCTCCAAGCGGGGGTGACGAGACAGCCAGACAAGCAGGTCTCTCCGTCCAGAAGCTGGACTGTGAAAGGAGGGCGGGAGGGACACAGAGACGCGGGCCGCCCACAGGGGCACAGGCGGCCTGTCCACCCCGCACGCCCCTCCTTGGCGTCCACCACCCTGCGCACACCCCCTGCACCACAGCCCCAGGCAGCACGGTTGAGCACCCAACGGCCCCAGCTAACGCTGTGTGGCACAAACAGGCTCAGGGAGTGAGTGGGCTGGGTGGGCCGCACCAAGCGGGAAGGAGGGGGGCCAAGGATCCCCCACTTCCCGAGGAGCCCCATCTTGGGGGGGACTGCTAAGAGCTGGGGCTTTTCCCGCTTAGCTGTCGTCCACTCCTGGGCACCTTGACCTTCCCCAGAGACTGACAGAAGAACACCAAGAAGCCCATGGGGGTCAGGCCTGGGGCCGCCCCTTCTGCGCCACCCCCCCCCACACACACACACCCCGCCCCCAGCCAATTTCTGGCGACAGGCTCGGGGAGCCAGCATGCGCGCAGGGAAAAGAATCCTCTCACTTGGTGTTTTCTTTTGGCGTAAGTAACTCTCTCAAAGGGGACTTTCTTATCCAGTTTTGTTTTGTGCTGTTGGGCCTTCCTGAGGGCGTGGGGAGGACCAGGGCTCTGGACACGCCCACCATCATCAGGAACCGCCCCGAGCCCCCAGAACCCGAGGACAATTCTTGGAATTGCCCCGCTGGCTCCAATCTGTTACAGAAAGTGCAACGCTGGAGGCATTTTCTGAGGAATCAAGATCTGAAACCAACATTATCTCCTCTCTTACTGCTGGCAAGGGAGAGGGCCGGGCCGGCCAAGGGAAACATGTCAGACTCCCATCAAGTTCCCGAAGGTCAGGCCTTCCACACTGGTGAATTCTGACCTCGCCTTAGAATGCGATGCCACGGCACGGTGAACGTTCCACGGAACCTTACATGTTAAGTAGACAACAAAAAATTTTAAGGGAAACCCAACAGGGCAAAGAAGTGGGGGAATAAGAATCAAAATGTAACAGGGGTGCCCAGGGAAAGGGGAGGTTCCAGGTTCCCTGCCCTACCCAAGGGAGGGTGGGGCTGAGCAGGGAGGAGGAGAAGCTGGAGAGGGGGCTGGAGAGGGAAGGAGGCAGGGTGGGGAGCCAGGAGGAGGCCCGGAGGAGGCGCACGGAGCAGAGACATGTGAGGAAGCTGCACTCGCTTCTTGGTCCTGGACTGGGTGACACAGATGTTGGGTGAGACCCGGCGGGGGCGGGGAGGTGACAATGGCAACTTTTATCTTGATTTTGATCTTGCTCTTCCTCCCAGACTTGTCTGGCTATTTCTCACCCTTTTCTATGGGTCCCTGCTGGAAGGTGCTTTAGATTTGGGGCCGCTTTTGGGGCCTTGCTCTGGGCAATCCCATTTGGCTGGACTTTTACCCACGAGGGGACGGGTCACTTTGGGTGCTTCATTCAGAAACTAGATTCTTTGTCTTTTCTATACTGCACACTAAATGTAACAAGTTACCTTCCATGAAAGGTCTCATGTTTTGTCTTGATGCGGCGGACGGCAGAACCTACTTACGGCGGGCAGGTTTGGGAGTTGCCCTGTAACAAAAACACAAAACGAGCTCTCAAGACCTCACGTGGGCCCTGCCTCCTCCTGGCCGGCCCCTGCTCAGGGCGCCCCCGCTCCCACCGGTCACCGAACCCCCACGCCATGCATGGCCTTTTGAGACATGTGTGGCGTCTCTCCTCAGCAGACTAGCCCTGCCTGCTCTGGACTCCTCAAGGTGTGGCTCAGCCCGGCGCCATGTTACCCACGCACACACCTGTCCCCCCCACACCAGTTCTCTGGCCAGCGTGGCCTCCCCGAGTCAGGCTGCTCATTCTAAAGGGAGGCTCCTCCTCCAACAGTGACTCTCAGCCCCCGTGCGTGGCGCGTCTCCGCTCTGAAGTGGGGTGTGTGTGTCGAGGGAGGCTCAGGATAAAAAACGTGGGAAGGAGCCGTCCCAAGCCCAAAGCCGGAGGTAGGGCAGAGATGGCGAGCATGGTCGGCAAACCAGCCATGTTCACAGAAATGAGAAGTCCCTGGGCGCCCGCTGCTGTGGAAACACCCGAGGCACGGACGGGGGCGGGGGGCGGGGGACGTGGCATTTGAGGCCACCACCAAGAATCAGGCCCTCACTGGGGAACGGATCCCACCTTAGAGGTGACTCCTTTGACAGCGGCGACGGCTCCTCAAAGGGGCGACCCCCACCCCACCCCACCCCAGAGAACACCACGTCAGCACAACCCCCGCCCGCAGGGCAGCTCCCGCCCGCGTCTGCGCAGAAGCGGCGCCGGCCTTCCTTTCCTCAGCCCGGCCTTTGTGGGCAAAACTAAACCCCTTGTCTCCCGCCAACTCGCCAGACGCCGCTGACAGGGGACTCTGCCGAACCTTCTCAGAGGCAACCCAAGGACCCAGCCCCGAGCCCCACACCTCTTCCTGGCCGTTAGTCTGCATTAGCCAACACATGCAAACGGGGCGGCGGCTGGCTGGTAACCCTTAAACACCCACCAATCGCGGGGACGTGCAAAGGCCGATCAGAAATCCCTTGGAAGCAGGCGGATCGATTTCCAGGAATCTGGAATGAGTTAGGTGCTGTAATTAAACATAAAATTTTACTCTGAACTTCCTGGCAGCCGCGACAAAATGGAAATTATTCAGGATCATCAGCGTCTTCCTGTTATTCAATTCTAGGAGAACTTTTAAGGACTGCATACCTAGTTAAGGTTGGTGGAAAACGCTTTTGACTTCTATTTTGTTAAAGATACAAAGTGTTGCGCACCTGCGCGGCCTGAGGCCACCCGGAGGAGGGGACGGGGCTGGGGACAGGGCGGCGGGGCGCAGCACTGTCCGTCAGGCCCATGGGTCCCCCTGGACAGGGTCTCAGCTACGGTGACTTCTCACTGCTGGGACCGCTTCTGCCACGTTAGGGCCACAGAGGGTCATTTATGCTCATTCCCATCCTGTCCAGGTCATGCCGGTCGGGGACTATTTGCTTTCGTGAGGTCATTCGAGGATCCAAGATTTCTGACCAGGGGCCCCACCACTGCCTGGTCACCACGTCCCTCCTCACCCAGATGGCGGTTGGGGAAAAAGAGCAGCAGGCATCCCCACTTTGGTGCCCCCCGGCCCAGCCCCTCAATGCGTCTACACGCATGTCCCTGTGGGAGCTTGACCAGGGCCACGACCAGCAAGGGGCTCAGCAAGGTGTTCCTGGACGCACTCGAAGCTCCTATCAGAGTCTGCAAGGAGGCATGGAGAGCCGGGAGGCCAGGCCCACACCCACAGAAAGCAGCTCAACCCTTCTGGTGCTCCTGACCAAGGACCACCCAGCTGGCCTGTCTACTACCTGGCCGCGTGCAGTGGGCTGACAGGTCCCCTCCAATTCACACCCGTCCCAGAAGTTCAGAGGTTACCTTAGTTGCAAGGTCTCTGCCCACGTGGCCAGTCAAGTGGAGACAGTCTGGGAGGAGGTGGCGGGGGGTGCTCCCCAGCGTGGCTTGGCCTCACCGGAGCAGGAGAGACACGGACACGGCACAGAGCACTGGCCTGGCCACGGGGCAGGAGCGACCTCTGGTTCAGGAGGTCCGAGAGATGCTGGCAACAGGGGACAACGCCCTCGCTCTCAGTGTGGACCCCTCCAAGACCGGGGTGGGGTGTGGGGGCTGGCCTCTGCCGCTGTGAGCACCTGTCTCAGGGTCACCTGTCACCACCACCCAGGGCGCTGGCACATCTGACACCGGCACGACCCAGGAGACCCACACGCAGAGGCTGGGACTAGATGAGCAGCTCGCAGCGTGAAGGGCAGGCCTTGCACCCCGCCAGTGGGGGGCCGGGCAGCGGTCGGCAGGCCCTGCTCTTGCTGGGAGGACTGGACTGCAGCCTGCTTTCCACCGCTGGTCTCCTTTCCCGCCACCCTCAGCTGACGGTTTGGCCTAGAAGCGCAGCCAGGGAGGGACGGAGGGAAGGGGCAGAGCCCCAGCGCCTGGAGTCAGGGCAGCGGCGGGAGGGTGGGGGGAAGCTGCGTGGGAGGAAGCCCTGGAGGCAGCGCCAACACGCTGCCACGGACAGCCGCGAGGCCGCAGCTGCCACAGAGGGGTTTCTGTGGGCTTGAGCACAAGCTTAGGGCCCGGAAAAGGGGAGTGGATGTGGCACCTTCATCTTCACCTTCATCTGACTGTCCAGGCCGGGCCCTGGTGTCACCAACCCCAGAACAGTGCGGTCTCAGCCCCTTCCCTGGGGGTGTGGCAGCTGCGGGCTCCTGTTGGCTCCTGGCACTGGCTGCGGGTGTGGCTAAGTTGGGGGCAGCCAAGTATTGGAGCAGCTAAAGGGTCCCTGTGTTACCCGCCTCCACGTGGATGCGCTCAGGGAGGTGGCCTGAGGGTGGGGGAGAAACCCTCTCACAGCAGAACAGCCTCCAGGGGGCATGTCAGCAAATCCGGGAGGGCATGGATGAGACACTGACTCCATCCAGGCAGCGTCAGTCAGTGGACAAAAGTGGCCGCCCGGTGGGGTCTGAACGCCAAGTCGAACCTCCATTTTCTAGAACAGAAGATCACGAAGTTATCGTGTTCGTTTCTCTCAATCCTGGACTAAGGTGGTTTGGGCCTGTCTTAATACGTTCTCCATGCCAGCTGGGGCAAGCTTGGCTTTCCTACCTCTCTCTGTTTACAATAGAGAAAGAAACCATAAAAAGATCCCCACATTCGATCATGTACGATCTCTGCCGTCGGCCATCACAAAGGGCACGCGCCCACAGTGGCAGGAGCTTGGCGCCGCGGGGGGGGGGGGGGCTCTCCGAGCGGCCCCACGCGGCAGAGGGGAGAGTTCTAGGAGGGACTGACACGAACTGCGACTCTCAGCAGGCGAACGGCCAGCGAATCCCGAAGATGAAGGCAGTGACCGCAGCAGACAAAAGGCAAAGGGTGTGACCAAGCGACTCCTTGAAGAAGCAAGCCCAAAGGCCGGCCCGCTGGAGACCACTGCCGGCAGCGGCGGCCGGAGGAGACAGGCACAAGCAGAGGGGTCCTCGCTTTCCGTGCCTGCCCGACGGGCTGAGAGCTCACGCGGCTCCCGCCCTCAGCAAGAGGCCTTGGAGGAAGGGCCGCCCACGTGGCGGGTGGGAGGGCCTCGCGCACCACTTCTCGGAGGGCGCTCTGACCACAGCAACGAAAGCCGTGAAAGCCGCCTCCCAGGGCGCCCTGGCTGCAGGGACAGATTCAGAGGGGGCACGCAGAGAGGCTGGGCACCTGCCACTGATCTGCTCCATTGCTCCGTCCACCTAGAACGACTCGAGAGCTTCCCCACGCGCTACTGGTAACGGGGAACCAGGAACCGGCGAATGTGAGGCAGGACAGGAGGCGCCTAAACCCGACCTCACAACCCACAAAGGCGGCGGCGGGTGCGTCTCCGGGACGGAGGCACAGGACAGGCACACACCAGACAAAGCAGACGCGGAGGCGGCGAGTGCAGGGTCATTCTTCTAAGTTAAGTATTCCTTATAGGCCGGAGCAAAAACCCTGGAAATGAACCCAAATGCCAACCACGACGGTGGGGTCCAGGCCACCCCGGGTAGCCAGGGCGGGCGGCGAGCTCACGCTGTGTGGCGTGGAGGAGCCGCACGTTGAAAACCGGGGCCTGAGCCCATCTTTGCTCCGCCAGGGAACAAGGCCTGATGCCCTGAGGCAGACATGGCGCTCCCGATTCAGAACTAGAGCCGGGCAGGAAGAATTCTGGAAGAATGAGTGGTGCAGCGTGACCTCCACGCAGTGCTCTTGAGGCCCTCGGGTGTCACCGCTGAGGACACCGGCCTGGCACACAGATGCTCTGAGCCGCGGTAGGCACACGCCCGAGGTCGGTCCGGGCCCCGCCTTCCTTGCGAGCAGGACGCTGGGGGCGGACGTGCTGGAAGCCGATCTCTAGGTGAGGCCTGGTGCGCACAGATGCTAACCTCGGGAACACCAGGTCTTCCCTGAACTCTGAGACGGGGGTCTCCCTAGGAAGGTGCAGACACTGCTGAGGTACAACGGGTTGACTGGTGGTGCCCCGAAACAGATGTCCACACCCAACTCCCCGGAACCAGTGAGTGTGGCCTTATTTGGAAATGGAGTGTTTGCAGATGTGACCTAGTTAAGGGTATCATCCGAGGTCATCCTGGACTACTACAGCTGGGGCCTGGATCTCAGACCACTGTCCTTCCAGGGACACACAGGCCAGGCCTGTGAGGACAGACAGGGCTGAAGGGAGGCCACTACGTGCCAAGGACGCGGAGCCCCCAGGAGCAGGAGAGGCAGGAGGGGCCTCCCCTCACCCCAGTCACACCTGACTTCACACACTGGCCTGGGGTGAGGGGGTGTGTGGAGCTGAATGGCTGCTGCTTTAAGCCCGGGGGCTGAGGCCCTTTGTTACGCAGCTCAGGATAGGAATCCAGGAGGCCGAGTAGGCACTTCTTGTGCCTACTTGTCTCTCAGGGCCAGCCTGTCCCAGCTCTCCTCTTGGCATTGGGGAGCAGGTTCGGTCTGCGTAGGACGTCGCAGGGCGACAGGGTTGCCGGGAATCT